AAGAAAGGGGAAGACAGACTCCCCAGTGTCCTTCCTGGCCTGACAGGTTGCTCAACACCACCAAGAGGAGAAGGAACCCTCAGAACATTCCTCCAGGAGATCTGTTTATCAGGGCTATTTGCAAAGGTACAGCAACAGAACCTCGGGAAGCATAGCAACAACGTTGGGCTATCATTTTAGGGATAACCTGATTCTGTGGGTTTAGTTTTATGAACCTCAAAGAGTTCTTGAAGAAGTAAAATAAATGAGCTCTGCCATCCTGGCATACCAAGTTTACTTAATAATGAGCCACTTGAAATATTATTTTATTTTAAAGTAAATAAGGATGATTATGGCACAGAATGCAAATTTCATGCAAATGTTTAAGACAAAGCAAAAGACTTCAGAGACTTTCCTCTGTAACTACATGTCCAGATCTGCCCCAGACCATCTACTTTGGCTCTGTGATCACAAAAGTTCTTTACTGCAAAAGCTTGAGTAGCAATGATTTCTCCCTCTAACTTCCTATATCTATATGTAATTAGCAAATCTAATACAATGACCGATTTAAGTGATGGACATTACTAAAGCAAGACATCACACTAATGCAAAGTTGTATCTGCTTCATGAGCTTATGTCTGCTGTGAGCATCAGGTTATGTGTTCCTGGCCAAAACAATACATAAGTGTGATGTGTCTTTCTCCACAGGCACACAGTGTCCATCTGTTTCTCACTGGTGATGCCCACCAATGATGTTGAGGACCCACCCAAGATGTTGCTGAGATTCATCCAATATATAGTATACTAAGACAGTGTACACAGTATCCCACTGTTTAGGTGCTATTCCTACCCCCTGCCCATGACTAATGAAAAGTCTAGAGAAGCACTTTGAGATCATAAAAATACGCTGCTCATCATCAGACTTTCCCCCTAGATTTAGCATCCATTGATAGACCTTTGGCCTAGTCAGTGTTTACTAAAATGGTTGCAAAATGGTGATTTTCTAACTCCACCACTCCCTCCGCATTTACCAGTCAGCAAGCCATTATACACTGCACCCTTCTCACCCACTTACTTATCTATCTGGTTCATCTGTTTGGGATTTATTTATTAATTATTGATAAGAACATGTGGATTTATGTTTTACTCAAGTTGTAAACCATTATTGTCATTCCTTATTTTGAGGCTCAAATTGTCCCAGATTTGACCAATGACAGCCTCTTCATGCCAATCCTGCATCCTTTTGAAGTGACCACATTATTGTTTTAAGCAGTGCCTTAGTTTCTGGCACAAACTATACCAGGCTTATTATTATTATCATTATTATTATTATTTGGAAACGTCCCTGCTGCAGCCCTGGAATTAGCAATTACTTTAAGGGCCTCAGGCTCCTCTTAGTGGGGAGCGGTTTTTAGAAGCCAGAATCTGGGTACTGGAAGGACTCATTGCTACTTGGGTGCCACTGCTTGTAGGCCCTTTCGAAGGACAGAGTTGGGATTTTTCAATCAGGTCTAATCCCATAGGCAGATGTCTTGTCTTCAACATTTACACATTTGCCCAATCCCACCATACTCACAAAATAGATTCAGAATTGCTGTAATCGTATTACCACAAATGACATGAAATGGAGTTTAGAATTTATTTGCAGTTCTTTTTGTCCTTCCTGGATTGAGGAGTAGATAGTGAAAGTATTGCATTCAAAATTTAATACTGCGTGTAATAGTATATTCTAAAGTTTGTTTTTCCTCCCCTTCTGAGAAACTTTGTTACTCATTTGAAATATTATTGAATTCATTTTGTTCTGTTTGCATTCACTTTTAATTTTCCCCATTCTTTTTAGTTTTAATTTTTTAATACATAGAACATTAACGTGCTTTCAAAAGTTGAAACTGTGCAAAAAGGTATACTCAGAGGTACGTGATTCCCTTCCCAAGCCCTCTCCTCTGCATGTCTTGTTAGGATGTGGAGGTGGTGCAGAGGAGAGGGCTTGAGCAGGGATGACAGTTCTGTTGGTTTCTGGTTTACTCTATGTTTTTTGTTTCTGTTTTTGTAAAATGAGTAATTATGTATCTTTTTTCTCCTGTTTTTTATATAAAAGGTAGCATGTTATATATAATTCTTATGTAAAGTAGTATGCTATGTATGATTTTGCTCATTTAACTTAGAAGTATATTCTGTAAATCACTCTTCATCAGCTAATGCAAGTCATTCTCATTCTTCTTAATATCGACTCCATTAGGTGTAGATACCATAGCTTATTCAATCTTTTATGTTTAGGCATTTAGGTAACTTCCAGAATTTTGAAATGACAAGCTATTCTGAAAAGAACAAACTTGTGCACATACACTTCTGTGCTATTAGTGGTTCATCTTCAGGGTTGAATTCTTAGAAGTAAGATTGCTGGGTCAAAGGGTAAATGCAAATTCACCTCCATAGAAATCACCCCAGTTGGCATTCCCACAAGCAATAAATAAGAGTGTCCCTTTTCCCACAGCCTCACCAACAGACTGCATGATTAAGCTTTCAGTTTTTGCCACTCTGGTGGATGAGAAATGGTATCCCATTATAGTTTAATTTGCATTTTTCTTATTATGAATGAAGTTGTACATCTTTTCTAATGTTTAAAAGCCATTTTTTATTCTTTTTTGTGACTTGTCTAATTTTTTGCTCATTTTGTTCCTAGCGCAATTTTGGGGGTTTCTCCTCAATTTTAAAAGTTATTTATATATTATAAATATATATATTTATAAATACATAAAAGTTATTTATATAATTATAAATATTAATTCTTCATGTGTGCTATATGCCACAAATATTTTCACCTATTTTATCATTTATCTTTTGGCCTTGCTTAAGATATCTTTTTGGCTTACGAAAGTTGGTTTTTGTTTTATTTTGTTTTGTTCTTATTTTAAGTAGCCAAACTTACTTATCTTTTCCCTTTATTGCCTGTGGATTTTGCAGTCATTGTTAGAAAGTCTTTCCCAGAATCCAGGTCGCAGAGGAATTTACCCAGGTTTTCTTCTAGTGCTTATTAGTAATGGTTTTGAGTTTTTACAATTTAGACATCTGATCCACTTGGATTTCTTTCTTGGGTATAATGTGAAGACTGAACTAATTCTATTTTTCTCCAAATGGCTGATTTTCCCAAAAGCATCTATTACAAAGCCCATCTTAGCCCCTATTATACGTTGTCTCTATTATAAACTAAATTCCCATATGTAGTTGATTTTTTTGGACCTTTTACTCTACTGATCTGTCTATCTAGGTGCTACTACCATAACGTTTTAATTGTAGAAACTGTGTCTTACATTTTTTTAAATCAATGAAACAAATAAAATGACTGATCAAACCGGCTATTCGGTTTGTACATAAAGCCAGTTAGTGATTTGGTTACTTCGATACTGGCTAGCCACACTCCTCCTCCTCACTCCTATTTTTTCCTGCCTTACCCAATAACATGTAAGATGAAGAGATGAAGTTATCACCATGGTTGCTATTGTCAATATGGTGCCAACATAAATGGGGCAGCTTATTTTGTTTCCATGATTTAAAACCAAACTGGGGACAGACTCAAGCTAATAAAAGCTCACAGTCTCCCCAGCATCGAGGGGGCCTTCTGAGTTCAACATCCATCTTTATTCAAGATGACTTTTCCCGGGGAAGGGGTCTCCCTTTTTGACAAGTAGATACATTCATATTTCCAGGGCTGCCCTGCATTCTTTAAGGCTGAGACGGGGCAAGCTGCTGTGGCCTGGCCTGTGTCATGGTGTCCCCTGAAATGAGTTCCCACGTGCTTTTCCTGCCCTGAGTTTGCCTCTGCAGCTGCCAGAAATGCAGCAGGAATGAGAGAGCCCAGGGAGAGAAAAGCTGACCCATGACAGCCATCGAGATCACTCCGGAGGACAGCTGTGTCTGGGTTACAGTGATTAATGTGATGTTAATCCCAACAAAAATGACTGGAGAAAGGCCCTGTGAGAACATTTATAATCAATAAATGAAAAACACCACTCCCATCAGACTCATTATCACTATGAAAAATCACCCTGAGATTACACAAGAAACCCAGCCATTGAGCCATTACTTGATGATTGGCAAAGCTTCTCCTTTTAAGCAATTTCAGCACCAGAATCTGCTGCTTGGAATTCAGCTTTTGAATGGGCCCATGGCCAGAGTTCAAACAGCAATCCGGTGCCTACTGAACCACCATTCAAGCATATTCTCACTTATGCATGGGAAGAAAATGCAACTGTGGCCTCCATGGTGGCTCAATTCATTATTAGAGCTGAGCTTTGCTCACATTCCCAATTAAAACACAAAGATTCATTGCCGGGACTGGGGCTCACATATGGCGAGGACAGAATCTAGGAACATGCTTGTAATCATTGCTACACTGACAGAATTTGAACATGTGAAAAAGCGGGACAGAAGTAACTAGAAAAGACACAAGCAAAACGTTATTTCTTTTTTTTTTTTTTTTTCTGAGACAGAGTTTCGCTCTTGTCACCCAGGCTGGAGTGCAATGGTGTGCTCTCGGCTCACCGCAACCTCCGCCTCCTGGGTTCAGGCAATTCTCCTGCGTCAGCCTCCTGAGTAGCTGGGATTACAGGCATGTGCCACCGTGCCCAGCTAATTTTTTCCATTTTTAGTAGAGACAGGATTTCATCGTGTTGACCAGGATGGTTTCGATCTCTTGACCTCGTGATCCACCCACCTCGGCCTCCCAAAGTGCTGGGATTACAGGCGTGAGCCACCGTGCCCGGCCCCTGTGATTTCTTTTGTGCTGATCAGCTACCTTTCCGAAGTACACATCATACTTTCTAGTACATTATGATTTTTCACCAACTCTGCTTGCTGAGGTGATCAACACAAACTATACTACAATCAAGAAAAATGTCATTGAGCCCAAAAAATAAGGAAGAGTGATACAGTTGCTATTTTCTGGAATTGACACAAGAAAACTCCCACATTTGGGGATGGGAGTAAAGCTCAGCCTCTTTCCCGGGACCCCACGGACTCACAGTGCTGTCAATGTAAGCTTCAGTCCACACCACATCATGCTCCTGGTCGATGACTTTGGGCCGGCTGAGCACATGGAGGTATTCCATGACATTCTCCTGCACGTCAGCCAAGGTGGAGATCTGGGTAAAAAATCCTGCCAAAACCCAAGGGAGGGCCAAGTTTAGTAACAGACAGAAAGACCTGCAACTAGGAATAAGCATATGCCATGCCTTGTTGCCCTCTACCTAGTTTCCTTCTTTTTGCTTTAAATGTTAGCTCCTCTCCCGCATCACCCACTTTATGAGTAATAAGTTCATGTTAGAAAATAGTCAAGCAAATGTAATATAATTAAAATCAATCATAAACTCATCTCCCAGAGGAAGTTCCTGTTAATTCTTTGGAGAATACCCTCCCAGACTTTATACGCACACACACACCCCTACACTCCCCCAACACCCCCCCCACATATATATGCACACACAGTATATGTATACACACACACTGTGGGTGTGTGTGTGTGTTTACTCCCTGGCAGAAATAAGAATCCTTTCTACATGTCATTTTGTGACCCTATTTTTTCACTTTCATGAACTTATTTCCAAGGAGAAAACTATAAACCACAAAAATTAAAGGGTATTTCATTTTAATAAACATAACAACAATAGTTATAATTTTTGAGTGCTAAGTACCATGAAATTTGCTAAACACTGGGTCAACTTTGTCCCTTTTCTTTGTGACAACATGTTTAAGTGCAGATGACTGTGTCCATTTTAAAGATCAGATGACTGATGCAGATGGGGAATATGCTTTTTGCCTGCGTTCTCTCAGGCATCAAGCAGCAAACACAGAGGATGAATTCAGGTTTAGAAGTCTCTTCATCTATCCCTCTACTTCTACTGAATTTTGCCCTTTTTATGTTTGAGGCTAAAATTTCAGCTCATATCATGATGTGTTCCCTAGTGCTGTCTTTTAAATATGCTGGGTAGACATGATTTCTAAGCAACAGAAACATTCTGAACATGCTGTTGTCTTGTGACTGGGGATACCATGTTGATCTTGGGTTCCAGGGCGCTGCTGTGTTCCTGCACTGCTGAAGAGCTTGGGGTCACATCAGCTTTGCTTTGGGTTAGAAAATGTTAAAAGGGAAAGGGTGAACTCAACACAGGCCTCGATTCCTTGGAGGGAGCCATTCATTCACACATTTATTGAAGGTTTTCTTGATGCTTAGTACTGAAGAAGCAATGAATAACCAGGTGAGCAAGGCCCCTGCCCCCCTGGGGCCTGGCAGTTCTGAGTAAACAGACAATTACAAAATGGTACATTCAACATTAAGCTAAAACATACAACAGGCACAGCCAATCAAATGTGGTTTCCCTGAGCAAAGGTCAGTGTAGCTGGAACCTGAAGGATGAGGACCAGTTAGCCAGAGGAATAGGGATTAAAGCTGGTGTCCAGCAAAGCAAGGAGTATAAAGACAGACCCTGGATCAGAGAGAAGCGGGCCCCTTATAGGAACTAAAAATAGCTCAGAATGGCTGGAGTTAAGGAGCTGGTAGAGAGAGGGTAGAGATATGGTGACATAAGATGAGAGAAATGGGCAGGAGGACTATCACACAGAACTTGGGAAAGAGTTTAGACTTTATCCTATAGGCAGGTAGTCAGGGAAGGAGATTCTTATTTCCTCCCTGTGCCTCTAAATAAGGATCCTAGGCTCATACCAGCTCCTACTTGCCAAACAAATTAAATAAAGTATGTGTGCCTCTGAGGCCAGCTCCATCACAGCACTAGCTCCAGAGTTTATAGAGTCTCTTAGTGACTAAAACAGGGCTCAGGGGAAGGAAATACCAGCCCTTCTGTTGTCCAGAAAGGGTCGGGACCCACCCAGAGGATTTCTAAACAATGGCCAGCTGGTTTGAATTTGGTGTGCCAACCCCAAATCAGGTGGGGACCATGTGGCTTCTGGGTTCCTGATGACAGCTCTGCACTGTGCTAATTAGCATGCATTGTCACTCCTGCCTGCCCCACCCTCCTGGCCTGGGCCAGAGTCTTTTCCATCCCAGGGGAAACAGGGCCCCATCGGAATAGGCTGTAAGTTTCTATTCTAGCTTGAGACCTGGGAGAAGGGCCTATGTTCACCTTTCTCAGCCATCAGGCACATAGTTAGGGAGACCCATTTGGGATGCTGCTCCAGCAGTGCTCCTAGGTGGTCCCTCTTAGAGGCATGGTGGCAAGGACAGGTTTTAAAAAGGACTGCGGGAGGAAGGGAACATGCAACACTCATAATTACCATCTCTCCAAGCATGGAGACTGCAGTGTCTGATAAGAAAGAAAACAGTTCATCTCTTCTTTAGTAGGAGAATCTTGGGCTCTATGTAAAGGGTCTTGACACAGAAGACAAGCTAAGAGGGATGCTATGATGTTGAAGGAGGGAGACACAGCTCAACAGCTCTGGACCTTTAGGATATAGGGATGAGTGCTTTGCAGTGTCCAACACCTGTGCTCCTGGACCCAGACAACACCTTGTAGGAGTTCTTCTTGGTTGTCTGTATTCACATCTAATCCTCAAAGCCAGCAGTAAAGCTCTCTGATTTGGGCTTTCCATAACAAGGCTAAGAGAAGAAAGATGAATTTGAGGAGGAGGATAGAAGGGACAGATCATTAGCACAGAGAAGGAATTGGGGGGAAACAGTCATACATTTGGAAAAACGCAGAGCTGAGAAATCATCCCCAGTTGGCCTTGGTTCTGAAAGGTTACAAAAAAATCACAGCCAAGGTTCTAAAAGATTACAAAAAGCTGACTCCTCTCCAGAGCTACAGACCTGACTGTATACCCGACACCTCTGCAGGGATAACTAGCAGGATTCTCAGGCCGAACTCATCCAACCAACCCCCGACTTCCCTTGCCAAACCCATTCCACCCATGGCACCACTCCCCAGATAGGCCGAAACATAATTATCCTCGATATCCATCCTATCCGCACCACACCCCATATGTAATCCACCAGCATGTTCTTCTGGCCGTATTTCTAAAATAGATCTAAATTCACTTCCCAATCTCCACTGCTTCACTACTCCAAGATGCCATCACCTCTCACCCAGAGCCCACAAGAGTCTCCCCACAAATCCCTCTCCTCCTCGCCATGCTCCTCACAGTCATCACAGATTGTCTAAAAGGTCGCAGCAGATCATCATCTTTCTGGCTGAAATCCTATAAAAGCTTCTATTTAGAGTTAGAATAAAATCAAGATGTTTTACTCTGACCTCCAGGACCCCTCCCTGAATTGGCTCCACCTACCTGGATAACCTCAACCCTGCTATCTCCCTTTTGCTCACCCTTCAGGCTCGCTGGCCTTGTTTCCCCTCTTCTCATGTGCCAAGCGTGTTCTCCACTCAGGGCCTGTGCACTTGCTGCCCTCTGCCTGGAACACCCTTTATCCCATTTACCATGTTTGGTTCCTTTTTGTCACTCAGGGTTCAACTGAGAGAGGCCATCCCTGACATTCCTGTCGGAAGTCACTTCCTTTCCCTTCACCCTGCATCAGTTCCTTCAGAAGACTCATCCATCATTGGATTCTCACTTGCTTGTTAATTGTGTTCTCTCTAATTGAAATATTAGCTCCATGAAATGATTCAAAAAGGTGGTTTCCACCTTGTTGGAAATAGTATTCCCAGAACAGGGAGGACAGGTATGGGAGCCATTAGCAAGGTGGGAACATTCACTGAGGTTTTACTGGGATCCACCTTGCCTTTCTGCATGTGGGCCTCATAATGGCCCAATACATGTGTTCACTGTATAAGGAAAGACCCACACACTCAGAGTCAGCCATTTGTCCTGGATGATTTTGAATCCAGGCTCATTTGATTCCAAAGTCTTTGCTCTGAACTGAAGACACTGCCTCTTCCACTGCTGAGAAGAGACAGGAGAGCTGCTCAGAGCTCCTCCCCAAGAAAGTAACTCTAATGGGCTAATTGTGTATTGTAGCTGAGGAACTTTGAGGATGGGGTTGCGGCCATATATGACTGTCATCTGAGGTTCCAGGCAATGAGCAGTAATTAGCACCAAGGTACTACTCAAAGCCCAATCTATAGTTCCAAATTATACTTCACTATGTAGACAGGGGATGCAGATGTATAAAAAGGTAAGAAAAGCTAAAATTTTAAAAATAATATTAATAACGTATGCTGCAAAGCTTACGCAAATTTGATTCCAACCCATTAAAATTTAAAATCTTTCCAAGTCTTTTTTTTAATGTTTTGGTATAAGTTTTAGTTAACAAATGATGGATAATAGGAAGTCGCTAAGGGCTGGAATCTGGCTGTAACCATAGACACGTCCCTTGTTTTCCCTCTGTATTCTCTCAGATGGCCACTTTCCCTCCCCTCTCCCTCTGTTTTTTTCCTGTTAAATTCTAACTCTTGAATGTTTATACTCTTTTTTAAAGTCCTTTTTTGGGCTTCATATATCATGTAAGAAAACAGAAACAGCAATCATTCGGTAATTACCAAGGAGAAATTAATGCCGAAATTAGCCACCTATTACAAATGGTCTGCTCATTTTTCTCCATAACATCCATTTATTTACCTTATTCCCTTGCAGAGCTCCTTCTGTGAACTCTGGGTTACAAACACTGCATGTGATAAACCACATGCAGCCCAGTGCTTTGTGTTTCTGAGATATTACCACCCTTACTTGGGGATTTTTAGAGTGTTTTGCCTCAAAGTCACCTGAGCGTGAGAAGATCCTTTGGTGAATCACTAAATACTCCACTTTGCAATGACCTGATATGAGGGTACCAGGAGTCTGTCCTCAGTGGGCAGGTCCTAGCTGTCTGCCTCACATAGTGAGGTCCTCCTTCTATCTTTGGAGTGATGGGTATAGCCTCCTTTGAGTCTTTCTAAAGACTCTTCCCAAGTTAAGCAAGGCAGGCTGAAATCTGAGAGCCAGTACCAACGTTTCAGTCTCCTGAGGTTGCTGAGGTAAGCATGAGATTTGCGAGGGCAGTGAAGGTGAGGCTGTGGCTTCCCTGGTTGGCATTCCCTGTGGAGCTACAGTGTTCTTGGAAGACGCTCCCAATACTGTGTTCTGTTTCGTCTTCCTCCTCCCCCCTGTCAACGTAACATACTACTGAAAAAAACACTTATTTCTAGAGAAAAA